CGCCTTTTGTAGCAGCTGGGCGTTGGTCGTATTGGCGTCGAGCTCGTGGAGTTGCGAGAGCATGCCTTGCAGAACCTTCTCAGTGCGGGTCTTGACGTCTTCGTCGGAGTACGCCAAGCACAGTTGACGACGATGGGTTGCTCTTCTTGTCGACGACATGGTCACAGCGCTGGTTTTGCGTGTGTGGGCAAAGCACAAAATGAGTTGCCTTCTCGGAGCAGCCCAACGGATGCGTGGTGGCGCGTGTCTGTGCAATCCTGGGTTTGATTGGATTCGTATTTTCGTTGTTGCCAGTACGACGAGATGTCGTCTCGGGCGTGACGTTTCATATATTCGCATTTTCTGGGGTGTGAAAATCGGCAGCTGGAATTTGAATGCGATTGCTTGAAAGCTCTGGTTCAGCATGATAATGCTACTGCAGTACCACCGCATTCGACATCAATCTCTCTAGCACTCCAACGCTTTGGTTATAGTGCTGGTGGATAGGAAGGCAGTCGATATATCACCATTCCTCGAATATCACTGTGGTTTTCAGAGATTGATATCGCCACAGTCTCTCTGTGCAGTACATGCAGGCAGCAGCGACTTTTGCACGGTCTTGCTTACGTGAGCAAGTAGTTTTAGCCGCCGATGCGTTGTACAAATCATGCGATACCTTGATGAGGGGCACGCGACAATGTTTGGGACGACACGATCGAAAAAGATCCCATTGGCCGTTCCTGATTGGTCGTTGATGGTAAAGCGACGCTTGTGATTGGCCAGATTCCATTTGCGTCGTCCCGCCGTGCGTGTTTATACTGCGTTACGATGGAAACGGCCTGCGACAGCACGATCTTTTCGGTTGGATTTCTCGCTGCCCTGCCGTACGAATCATTGAGCTGGTGCCCCTACCAGATCTTCATTTTCCAATTTGCCGCAAACCACAAGCATCAACGATGGCGTCTCGCACACTCGCAGCCAGCAGTCGCCGCCACCTCCACCTCAAATACTCGGACGAATGCGTCAAGGCCCGCACCGAAAAGGTCCTCAAGAGCATGCTCTCACAGCTCAATCAGCTCGACGCTGACACGACCAACGCCCAGCTGCTACAAAAGGC